AGGCCAGATAAAGTTCGAAGTTGAAAGGAATTGACGACCCAAAAACAAAGGTTTTGCTGAATACATCTAAGGTAATATATTCCTGGGGTAGAAAATCCTCAGCATTTCAAAACTGTCAACGTTTATATTAGGACAGTAACTCAGAAAAAAAATGAGGAACAGCTAGAGGTCAGAATACCTTAAGTAATGATGACCATGCTTAAAAGTCACATGTGAAGCTCTTACTGCCGAGTCCTGCATTTAGATAAAAAAAAAACGAAAATTCACATTCGCGAGTGTAATTACTACTTAAGCATGCACGTGTTTTGTTTTGCGCAATAATAGTAAATAGAAAGCATACGCACTGATATTCTAGATAAGAATAAGCATCTGTGTTATCACATATATTAATCAATGCTCAAATCTAATGTTTAATAGTTGAATTCGAATTTCAAACTACCTACTTAAAAGAGTTTTTTACTACGGATTCATTGCCATTTAATTTAGAATTTCGTATAAAACAAGTTGATTTATAATGAAAATAAAGAAAAGCGTATAGGATAGCTGGTCAACATAATGGATACAGTTTTCAAAATCGTACCACATTGCAAAGATTTGATTGCTATAAGGTTAAACTATTAAAAAAACAGAATTGAACTGTTAACGAAACTTTTCCGAAAATTTAAAATTTAATATCAATAAACACCACCATCAAGTATTTTCTGATGGACATTTTATTTATCAAATCAATTTCTTCTTAAAGTCTAACTTTCCACTATATGAATATATTACTTTACAAAATATAAGCAGAGACTTCTAAATCCATATTAAAACAGTATAGAACAATTAGCGTTGTAATTAATTTTTTTTAAGATTATTGTAAAATTTTAATTACGTTTTTTGTGAGATGCAAGGTTTAAAAATCCATTGTGAATTGAAACCATGCAAGATTTTTTTTTAATTTAATACCGTTTAAAATGTAGATACTAACTTATGTTTTCGCATCCCTGCTCATTGGTGCTCATGTGTTGCATATAATTTTCATAAATGTATTTACTGTTAAAACCTATGGCACATTGGTAGTATCAAGTGAAATTACATATTTTTGGGAGAAAAATCCTTTTGTTTATTATAGTTCTGCTTTCCGACCTCTGTGTTTCCGACCTAAGATAAATATTTATAACAGAAATATCGTTTTGTTTAATTTTCTTCATGCTTTCCGACAGTTTCCCAGGCTATGATTAGAATACAAAATATCACGTAATAAACGTTCAGAAATAATCAGTTTATTCTGGGACATTATATATTGATAAACTATTCCCAGGGTCATTGTCACAATATGTATTAAATACTGCACACACAACGAGTACATGGACCGTCTCAAAGCATGAATTGTATAACTGCGTTATCATTATACTTGATATGATATTTAATAATAGTATTATTAAAAACACATATGCTTTGTCAAAAGGCAAAGAAGTTCTCACATATAAATTATTCCTTGACTGTAATCTAGTCTTTAATTTTTTACTACCCCATCTACAAATGAACTTTGATTTTTGAAATATACAATGTCACGTGGTAGCCTATCCATAGAGGGATCGTATCTGAGACATAGATAACTATCTGAATGAATGATCGAAAATTTTTTAGAGGTATCGATTATCTTGTTTCCGGAGATATCCGAATGGACCATAGATGCTACCAAAACTCACCAATATATAGTTTCTTATAAAGACGCATTTTTCTTTATATTCGACAATTCTGGATCAATGTTGCTTTCAAAAGGTAAAAACAAGATTCCTAAGAGGGATTTACTATAACTTTATCGAAAAAAGTCAATCATTGCGATGACCAAAACCATTTTTCGAATATAATGTATACCTATGGCTAATCGTTTTCACCGACAAATGTCTAATCTTTTTAGATAAATGACAAACAGGACGGCATTACATCGTTGTTTTGCCTTTTCCTTGTATGTTACGCTATATTTACTTGGCACTTAATATAATTTGTTTCGTGAATGACGCACATACGTTTTGTCAAATGGGAAGTCACTTATAAGTTGCATCAATACATCATTTTTGTCACGTATTTTCTAAAGTGGTGCTGTTGACATCAATATACATCGAAATACATGGAAAATTGACCCCGGGGTCAAAATACCGGAATGGTAAATTGAATCCCCTATGTATGGAAAATTGACCCCCCCTCCCCTCTTGGTAAATTGACCTCCCTGTTTTTTTCATTCTAATTAATTATTAGAACATGATACATTATTTCAAAGCTTATTTTAGATTGAAAATCAGACATACAAAAAGGTGAGGTCAATTTTCCATGGTAGGTAAAAAAAACCCATGGCTTGGTATAAGTGCTCTAAAGTCTTTACCAACATAATTTCATTCAAAATAATATTGAAGCATCATAACTAGACCATGTAGCTTAAATGCTTTGATTATTTGAAATCCTAACATATAAAGCGAGTTAAATTTTTCATGTTAAACAAGGGGGAGGGGGTCAAATTACCATGGCTCAGTTAAATAGTCAAACCATCTTTTTCAACATGTTTAATATATACCATACATGTATATTTATTAGAGCATCAAATATTTGTAAAGCAGTTTGAATGATCTGATTGTTGATATTGGAGATGTATAGACAAGTTGGTTCAATTTGCCATGGGAGGGGGGTCAAAATACCATGGCTTCGTAAAATTGTTTAAAAAAATCTTTTCCAACATGTTTCATATATACCAAATACTAGTTACAGCATTATAACTATGTAATATAGTTTGAATAGATATGATGTTTTGAAATTTAAGGTGTATAGGAGGGGGTTCAATATACCATGGCAGGGGGGTCAAAATACCATGGCTAAGTAAAAATTTTGAAACTTCTGTTCAAGCAGGTTTAATACATACCAACTACTTATTGGAGTATTATTACTACATCTATGTAAAGGAGTTAGAATAGCTATAAATTTTGAAATTGGAGGTGTATAGTAGAGGGTCAAAATACCATGACTAAGTAAAAATTTCAAAACATCTTTATAAGTATGTTTAATACATACCAACTACTTATTGGAGTATTTTAATTAAGTAAAGGAGATAAAAAAGCTATTTTTTAAAATTGGAGGTGTATCGGAGGGGTTCAATATACCTTGGCAGGGGGTCAAAATGCAATGGCTAAGTAAAATTTTATAAACATCTTTATAAGCATGTTTGATACATACCAACTACTTATTGGAGTATTATTACCATGTAAAGAAGTTAGAATAGCTAAAATTCTTGCAAATGGAGGTATATAGCTTTTTTAACTCCCTAACATAGTAATAATAATCCAACCAGTAGTTGATATATATCAAACATGCTGAAAAAAGATGTTTGGAAAATCTTACTTAGCCATGGTATTTTGATTCCCCGCCATGGTATATTGCACCCTTTACTATATATCTCCGATTTCAAAAGTATAGCTATTCTAATTCCTTTACATAGTAATAATACTCCAATAAGTAGTTTGTATGTATAAAACATGCTTATAAAGATGTTTATAAAATTTTACTTAACCATGGTATTTTGACCTTCCAGCCGTGGTATATTGAACCCACTCCTATACAACTCCAATTTAAAAAGAATATAGCTTTTGTAACTCCTTTTCATAGTTATAATACTCCAATAAGTAGTTGGTATGTAATAAACATGCTTATAAAGATGTTTGAAAATTTTACTTTGCCATGGTATTTTGACTCTCCTGCCATGGTATATTGAACCCCCTTCTATACACCCCGATTTCAAGAATTATAGCTATTCCAACTTCTTTACATCAAAATTAAACTCTAATAAGTAGTTGGTATATAATAAACATGCTGGAAAAGATGTTTGGAAAATTTAACTTAGCCATAGTATTTCGACCCCTCTGCCATGGTATACTAAACCCCTACTACACACCTCCAGTTTCAAATATTATAGCTTTTGTAACTCCTTTACATAGTAATAATACTCCAATAAGTAGTTGGTATGTATCAAACATGCCTATAAAGATGTTTGGAAAATTTTACGTAACCATAGTATTTCGACCCCCCTGCCTTGGTACATTGAACCCCTTACTATATGCCTCCAATGAAAAAAAAACATAGCCAACATATAGTACATTTGATAATCTGCACTACTTTGATTAAAACTGGGGGTTTAATTTTCCATGGTGGGGTTGAAAATAACATATGGGAAAAATGATCCCGGGGGTCAAAATACCATGCGGTATGATGACCCAGCAGTCAATTTTCCATAGGGTATTTTGACCCCGGGTTCACTTTTCAGGGTTTCAAAATACCATATGACACCGGCTATATATAGTTTTTTAATGATTTTTTGGGAGTTTTTTACCCAGTATTTGGACTGAGCTTTTTATAGTCCTTTTAATGTTAGTACTAAAGGAGAGAAGGTCACGTTTTTTATTTACTAAAATATCCCCCTTCGTGAATGATGATATTGCATTCATTTGTTGGACGGGAGCCACATGTGGATGATGACCTGCTCACCCATCCCTTTTTTTGCTTTTTGCAATGGCATTGTCACTTTGTTTTCGAGTTATGTGTTCGACTACCCTTTTGGTATATTTTCCCTCTATTATACACTCAAAATAATGATGTTACCATATAAAAACAAATAGTTAGTGGCTTTGTTGGCAGTAACATCAACACATTTGTCGTTAAGAGAGGACACAGCATGCACACTATGGATGTTTTGAGAGGATTAAAAGCCCATGTGCTCATTTTATGCGTGGAGTTTGAATCCCCTTCTGAATGCACGACTGAATAGCTCTGATCTGTTCAGATAAAGTGTCCAGTTTTGGTTGACTTGGGTCTCGTTTTACCTTCAACTACACCCATCAGTAACGTGGAGTTACTGAAAATTGAAAATAAGTTTACCTCCTGGTTGTGAATTATATGTATATGGTATTATGAATCATTTGCCTTGATCATTTGATATTTATATGGCAATAAAAAAATGTTAACATGTACTATTAAATTATATACCCGCATTTATTGAGAAACAAATCACATTATTAATATCAATTATTCAAATACAAGTTGAAAATACCAATGAATATTCCCACAAAATATCACCAAAAAAATGTAACATGTAGCTAATGTATATCCCACAAAATATCATCAAACGATATAACAAAACGTTTATTCTCACACACTTTTACAAATTTAATGTCATACATATCATTAATAAACAGATGCAATGCTACAATAGGTGGTCCAATAAAATTCATAACCGAATAACTGAATTCAAGATTACAACATACAAGTAAGACTTAGTAAGTTTGCACTCGAGAGAAAATAAACCACACAGATTGTATCTAAGATATCAAAAGTTAAAATTTCAAACGAAAGCAAAGAATGACTTTTCCCACAATAATGATAATAAAATTCAGACCATGTTAGAATTGTCCCTCAGTTTTAAATAAGAATGAAATCGATCCACTTTTTTTCATTATTTCCAATTAAACTTGTCCATTCTTTTTTGGTTCATGGCTTTCAATTTACGCAGTTTTTTTCCTGGAAGAAAGAGAATAAATAAATGACCAGCCGCACACTGTCTTTAATTTATGATATTTCGACTGAGTGTGGATTCACATGGTTAGTGATATATGAATGTCGTTATAAATTCAAAATTGGAAAATAATATTAACTGCAATGGCACAACAATAAACTGATGACACAGAGATATGTCTCGCCTGTAGGCATAAAAGTCAGAAAAAGACAATCTGATGGACAGGAACATTGCTTATTATTTCAGTCATTTGACCATGATCTTGTAAGTAGGGCCTAGAAATGGTCGACAAACTGAGATGTACAGACAGTAATGTAACTATATAGACAATATCATTGTCTATTGTAAGCAGTTCTTTTCAATCTAACTTTAGCCAAAAATTAACATTGAACATTAATATCTAATTCAAAGTCGCTGAACCATGACCTAAGGGCCAGGGCCTCAAAATGTACTGATAGTTATGTAACCTTATATTAAATATCATTGATCTATCACAAGAAGATCCTATCAAACTATGTTAAGTAGAAAAGTTAACATTGAAAATTGTGAGTTCATTCAAAGTCGCTGAATCATGATCTAGGGGCAGGGCCTCAATATGGTCGTCAAACTGATATGTACTGATAGTAATGCAACTTTGTATTAAATATCAATGATCTATCACAGGTAGTTCCTTTCAAACTAACTTAGGCAGAAAACTAAACAATTGTTGACGCCATCGTTGCCATCGCCAGAAAAGCAATCCTTATATTTCGCTTTCCGCGACTTTTATCACAGGCGAGACAAAAATTGTAGGCACTGGCTACGGTTACCCGCAAAAAGTAAAAAAAAAAAAATAATTATTTTTACTTCTGAGACTAATTCCTGAAATTTATTTCTGGAGAGGAATCCAATTTCATACGGAAACTGCAGGTAACAATAAAATATTTTTTATTGTTACCGGCAGATGTAGTTACTCACAAAATTTTACATTTGCAAATTATATTTTTTTGTGTGTAGCATCTGGATACTTTGTACTGTCTTCGTGTCATTGCCCCGTATTCTTTGGTTAACATATTTGAAACAAAAAATTATATGAATAGAAATTATTTAATGAACACAGCAACATTTATACATTTATACATAATACGAAGTATTTTATCTAATTTTTTTTTGGTGGCACTTCTGGCACATCCAGTATATAACCTTAGTTGACACTTTGAGGCCAACACATTTTAGGTGGTACCACTCCAGATACCTGTTACAAATAATAGATTCCTATATATAGAAGTGAACACCACACACTAAGCAGTTCCACTCTGCTGTGTTCTTCCTCTGCTATATCTTTTTGCTTGCATTTTTCAAGACTCATTAGAAAAATATTCTTTGATTCTATTGAGATTAATTTTCTCGTCGAGCAATTTCGTAGGAAATTTCTCAAATGAAAGAAATTGTTCCTATGGTTTTATGATCAGAACTTCTTCAGTCTATATAATTGAACAAAATTTGCATCTTGGAATTGTTGAAGTTTGTCATTAAAATCTTAGAAAAGATATAATCTTTTCACTGACGACAAATTAGACATCTTGCTCATTCATATTGGTAAATTTATCTGGAAGCTAATCAAACATTTTTTATAGACCAGTGCCTACCTGAATATATTTTGCGGGAAATAATTACGTTAGGTAACAATAAAAAATTATATTATTGTGACCTGCAATTTCCGTATGAAATAGGGTCCCACTTGGAAATACATCTCGGCAATTAGTCTCGATAATTATTTCTTATTGTTTCTTTCGCGGGTAACCGTAGCCAGTGTTTACATTGTATTAATGTCCACCATAACTTCTGCTTGTCATTATGAATGAAAAGATTATGGGGGAAATTTACCTGGTTTATTGTCCAAATTATCTACTGATTTGTTGTTAGATCCTTTCTTTGAGTGACGGCATGATTCTGTAAAAAGATCTGAACAATATACAACCTCATTGACTCAAGGTTTCGCTAAATACAGTGAGACTTTTATAGACCCATCTTGACTATCAGTAATTGCTTTATAAGTAAGGACAATAGTAGTATACCGCTGTTCAATAGTCATAAATCGATTCAACTGAAACAAATCCGGGTCACAAACCAAAACTTAGGAAAACACATCATCTATAAGAGGAAACAAAACGGAACAAGAGAAACACTGGACTCCCACAATAACAAACACCAACATACATAGAAACGGACTATGTGATAACAACTGCCATATTCCTGACTTGGTACAGGACATTTCAAGAAACAATGGTGGGTTAAACCTGGTTTTATGGCTAGCCAAACCTCCCGCTTATATGGCAATGTAAAAAATATAGCTAAAATGACAACATTACGTGACAGGAATACAGTACAAATAAATGCAAGAACATTCAGAACAGATAAATACATAGATAAATAATATAATAGTACACATTTCAACATGTTAACCACAGAATAACAACGAAAACCTAATGTCATATTAAACTTTTTTCTTATTTGGATAGTAATGTAACATCCTTGAATTATTCTATTAAATCTATTAACAACTTAAACAAACTTAGAATGACAAATGCAAGCGTGAAATGTTGTATGGATACCTGTCTAGTGAGGAGTTTGGATACCTGTCTAGTGAGGAGTTTGGATATCTGTCTAGTGAGGAAGACTGAGCATATGTTACCCTGAAGTTTTTGTTTTGTTTATTTTTGTTTTTTTGGTTGGTAAAATAGATTTATAAATACTTTTCAGAATTATAACAGTATCAATTTATCATGTTAGCCAAAATCAGCTTGTGCTTTGAAATAAAGATTTTTACCACTGGGTCGATGACCCAAGGGTATTACCACGCTACTTATCAGCACTTTCATGTTGACATGATATATAACTAATTTGTTCATTTTTTTGTCAATTAATAAATCAAGGGATTTACTGAAATAAGCGATTTTTAAATCACTCATTTGAGTAGCAAATAAGAAATTCCTTGATTTTGTAGTTTTACTAAAATTTTAAACACACAGGTTGAGATTAAATCTGATTATTAGTAAAAATGAATAACAATTCTTTTAAGTAGCAATGTTTATGCCTTTGATGCAATCATTCTTCTTTAAATTCTAAAATTGTTGAAAATAATGCTACAATGAAGGCTTTACATAATGATCTAATACTTTCCATACAGATTGCCTTAACCATATTTGGTACTTTGGTACTTTACTTTGTTTATGCCCTTTACCATGTATTTGGTCTTAGCTCAAAACTGATTTCATTCAAACGCTACAGATTAGTCTCACGTGAAAAAACGCGTATGGCGAAAAATCCTTACATCTTCGAATATTGTTTTATTCTGATTTCACAGAATATAATGATAAATTTAACAGGTTTTAATAAGTTCTAAAAAGAAGTGTTCCGCTCTGGTTAACAATTAAATTATAAAGTAATGTTGATTTTAATCTGATGTATATAAAGAATTTACCTGGACATTTTTCTAAGTTGCAAAGTGATGTTTCAGTTCTGGAACCAACACATTTCAGTCCATCGTCAGACGGTGGGGGATTGTCACATGTTCTGGTTTTCATTATGACACCATCTCCACAAGTAACAGAACATGAAGAGTTGAACCAAAGGCTCCATCCTCCATTTAAAAAAGATGAAAACAACACGTTATCAATCTAATACTGTTGCAAAAATATTGAACAATTATTCACTATTAGCAGTCAGTTTGGTTTAATTTTGTCATCATAAATTGAAAACCTCAATTTTGCATAAATTATTCCCACAAAACAATCATTCGACCTCATTTAAATACTCATGCATGCATCATACTCATAATTTTACCTTTAACTTGTTTAGGAATTATTAAGTTCATTAGTGAATGATATTGGTCTTAAGCTTCTTCCCTTGTTTAGCTTTTTCTTTTCTAGCAATCAAAGTCAGACTGCAGTCACACCACATGAAGTTTTGTAAGTTGGAAATAGGTTTTTGCATGGTATAAATTAAAAACGACAGTTAGAGCCAATTTGGATAACTTGAATTTACAGGAATTGACCTTTTTATTATGATCAGCAGTAGTTATCCAATTTTCATTAAATTTCATGTAGTGTAAATGAAACCTTATAGGTATAAAAAACTAATCCTATCTTTCCTATATATCAAACATGTAAGGTATACTATTTAGAAAAAAACAAACTGTGTATTCAGTTGTTTAAGATTGTGTCTGCTAAATAATGTAAGTCAAAAGTTACTTAATTTGGTCAATTAAAATTGTCGGTAAAGAGAATGAGGCTCTAGTTAAAACTCCAACTTAGTGTCTTACTGTTTTTTCTCACCATCACAAGTGTGACTTAATAAAAAAAACAAAAACCAATTTAGCAAGCAAATTTACAAAATTAATGACATACAGATATGGAATAAAAAATGGACATGAGGTATGTATCGAGAATGTTAAATGTTCAGGCACTTTCACAACAAATCTGAAAAAAGAAATTGAAGCATGTCTAAGATATTTATTTTTATTTCAGATAGTTGCTACAGAGGTCAAATTGGAAATAAATAGATTGCATATACACAAAATATGAGTAAATTTCATCATTTATTAAGAAATATTTTTAACTGCTTACCTGGAATTATGCAGCCTGTCATGTTAAAATCGAGAATATCTATGGTGGTATTTAAACCAGTACATGTTCCTCGGTAAACAAGGTTTGTTTGATTTGATGCCCATTCTTTAAAATCAATCATGAGGCAGCAATTGAATTGGTTTCTCCTCATATACCTTAAATATTAAATTTAATATAGGGTTAATTTCTATGTCATGTACATATCCATGTGACTTCTGCTTTTTCACATTATTGCGAAACAATTTAAAATCTCGAGGGGAAGAAATATATATAAGATACGGCAACAACATGGAATTATAGAAACAACGACAAAGTATCATGTTGTTTCTACAGATATATGCAAAAAAAGATATAAATCATCAAATCAAAATAGATAGAGCTTTAAATTAAACATTTAGCAAAGCATTTTATTACGCAAGAGGAACAGCTGTCCTACAAAACAAATGCTTACAACACAAATTATTATAATTATAATTCTGTTTTCGAGAACAGACCTTCTGGTAAATTTATTAAGAAGTTACCCCGAAACGTTCTATAAGAAAATCAATAGTCATGAATGAAAATCTGAATTAGGACACTGATGCTAAAATTACAAAAAATTTCAAATGTCGTTCTCCGTGTATTCAAAAGATAAATATATTTTTCTTAGAACTGATATTGCTTGAACAGCAATATTTAATTATTGAACGACATTAACAGTTAAATAAAGAAGTACAAATGAATTGTGCGTAAACAATAAAATGATGGTAAACCTGCTGAGTTTATTGCACACAAGAATATTTTGAAGAACATCAATTACATATGTGCATGATTAGATATGCAATACAATCTATCATATGATAAAGTAAATATGCTAAAGTCTTGATAAAACTTAAGACACTAATACTCAAATTATCAAAGGTTTCAAAAAAGTATAACAAAAATACTGAACTACAAGGCAAATTCAAAAAGGGGAAGTCCATAAAAACAGACAAAATCAAACGCTATCAAACAATGGAATAAGTGAAAAACAACTGCCATTTTCCTGACTTGGAATAAGAATATATTCAATCAAGACAATGGTTCTTGAATTACGCAAGATTTCAAAGGCTTACCTTGAAATATAGAATGAGATTAGGAGTAAAATGAGTATGTACATTATAGATATAATTAATATTGAAGTCAAATGTCACATGCGTGGTTTGAAATCACTACTTCAGTGTTGACAGGCTTGTGATACAGTAGATAAGTTAGATAGACTACCCGGTATCCCTCAAATGTATAGAAGAACATCAACTATATATGATCGTTATAGGAATATGACATATGAACGTGGTTAAGAATTACACACACTATTAAATAAGTTTAAGTCTGATATAAATATCAATTACACTTAAAATTCTGTAGGATTCATATTGAACAGAAACAAATCTTCTGGTAAAGTTGCTAACTTGTTATGCCTTAAAAATCTGGAAGAAAATCAAATATCTTGATTGTGTCAGAACATGTTAAATCAAAACACTGATACTAAACTTACCAAAGATTAATAATTTGATCTCCTTGTATTCAATCAGTTTATAATTGTGATAAACCTGCTGAGCTATTGGCACACAAGTATATTAAAACCCCTTTATATAGGAACATGATTTGCAATAATTTAATATAACCTTTTAATAAGATTAAGTCTGACATATTGAAGATTTGTGTTCAACATGATCAATGTTAACTAACCTTCTGGGAAGTTTTCTAACTTGTTAATCAGTAAATGGCTAATACAAAATTGATGATCATGAACATAGTTACTTAATTAACCTACTTATATTCAAATTACCAAACATTTCAAAGGTTGATCTTCAGTTATTCAATGGATCAAATATATGTGTCATCAACCTGATATTGTTGATGTGATTTTTATTACTTTAAAAATCAACATTATTTAACGAAATTAAAATAGAATGATGACAAAACTACTGAGTTCCCGGCACACAAGTATATGTAAGAACAGCAGATGTATGTGTACGTGATTAGATATACAATTTAAATAATATAATATGTAAGAAAAAGTCTGAGATGAGCATAAATCATACTTACAATTCTTCCAGATTTGTGTTGCTAAAAAACAGACCTTCTGGTAAAGTAACTAACTTGTTCTGGCCTAAATATCTGAAAGGAAGTCAAATATCTTGATTTTGTAAGAACATGTTAAATTAAAACACCGATACCGAATTTACCAGAGATTACCAAATTCGATCTCCGTGTATTGAAAAGATGAAATATATTTTTCTTCAAACTGACATTGTTGATGCATTTTTATAAGCTTTTACTGCAATCTTTAAACAACGAGTGACATTTAAAGTAACATTAAGTATGCACAAAGGAAGTTTGCCAATAAAATGAAATTAAGTTAGACCTTCTGAGTTCGACAGACAAGTATATTGAGGAATATCAGTTATATATGTACGGGATTATATAAACAACACAATCTTTGATAAGATAAAGTCTGTGATAAACATTATTCACAATTACAATTCTTGTAACTTGGTGTTTGATGATAACAGACTATCTGGTAAACTTTCCTTGTTGTGTTTGGTTACAATTTTGGAGTATAATCAAGCATCTTAATTATGTAAGAACATATTCAATCAAGACAATTATATTCAAATTACCAAAAGGAATTCTAAGATTAATTTTGAACTATTGAATAACATTAAAAGTTAAATTAGCATATAAAAAGGAAGTCTGACATATTGAAGATTGGTGTTCAACATGTTCAATGTTAAATGACCATTCTTGTAAACTTTCTAACTTGTTACTCATTAAATAATTAATAGAAAATCAATGATCATGAAAATGCTTAATTTATCTTCTTATATTTACATTACCATACATTTTAAAGGTTGATCTTAAGTTATTCAATCGGTCAAATATATTTGTCGTCCACCTGATATGATAGATATAATTTGTATTGCTTTAAAATTCAACATAAAAAAATGAACTAAATTAAAAAAGAATGATGACAAAACTGCTGAGTTCTCAACACACAAGTATTTTGAAGAAAATCAGATATGTGTACGTGATTAAATATACAATATAATCTATAACACAATTAAGTCCTAAGATGATCACAATTCATACATACAATGTTTTAATTTTTGTGTTGTTAGAAAACATATGAACGACGGAGGTTAAAAAGTCCACACACTATTAAATAAGTTTAGGTCTGATATAAATATCAATTACACTTAAAATTCTATAGGATTCATGTTGAACAGAAACAAATCTTCTGGTAAAGTTACTAACTTGTTATGCCTTAAAAATCTGGAAGAAAATCAAATATCTTGATTGTGTAAGAACATGTTAAATCAAAACACTGATACTAAACTTACCAAAGATTACCAATTTGATCTCCTTGTATTCAATTAGTTTATTATTGTGATAAACCTGCTGAGCTATTGGCACACAAGTATATTAAAACCCCTTTATTTAGGAACATGATTTGCAATAATTTAATATAACCTTTTAATAAGATTAAGTCTGACATATTGAAGATTTGTGTTCAACATGACCAATGTTAACTAACCTTCTGGGAAGTTTTCTAACTTGTTAATCAGTAAATATCTAATAGAAAATTGATGATCATGAACATAGTTACTTAATTAACCTACTTATATTCAAATTACCAAACATTTCAAAGGTTGAACTTCAGTTGTTCAACGGATCAAATGTAATTGTGATCAACCTGATATTGTTGATGTAATTTTCATTGCTCTAAAATTCAACATTATTTAACGAAATTAAAATAGAATGATGACAAAACTACTGAGTTATCGGCACACAAGTATATGTAAGAACAGCAGATGTGTGTGTTCGTGATTAGATATACAATTTAAATAATATAATATGTAAGAAAAAGTCTGAGGTGAGCATAAATCATACTTACAATGTTTTAAGTTTAGTGTTGTTAGAAAACAGACCTTCTGGTAAAGTTACCAACGTGTTAGTGTATAAATCTCTGGAAGACAATCAATTATCTTGATTATATAAGAACATGTTACATTAAAGCACTAATTCTGAACTTACTAAAGATTACCAATCTGATCTCCTTGTATTCAATAATTCTATAATAGTGATAGACCTGCAGAGCTATTGGCACACAAGTATATTAAAACCGCTTTTATATAGGAACATGATTAACAATAATCCAATATAATCTTTTAATAAGTTTAAGTCTGACATATTGAAGATTTGTGTTCAACATGATCAATGTTAACGGATCTTCTGGGAAGTTTTCTAACTTGTTAATCAGTAAATATCTAATAGAAAATTGATGATCATGAACATAGTTACTTAATTAACCTACTTATATTCAAATTACCAAACATTTCTAAGGTTGATCTTTAGTTATTCAATGGATCAAATATATGTGTCATCAACCTGATATTGTTGATGTGATTTTCATTGCTTTAAAAATCAACATTATTTAACGAAATTAAAATAGAATAATGACAAAACTACTGAGTTCTCGGCACACAAGTATATGTAAGAACAGTAGATGTGTGTGTACGTGATTAGATATACAGTTTAAATAATATAATATGTAACTAAAAGTCTGAGATGAGCATAAATCATACTTACAATCTTTCAAGTTTTGTGTTGCTAGAAAACAGACCTTCAGGTAAAGTTACTAACTTGTTTTCGTATAAATATCTGAAAGGAAGTCAAATATCTTGATTTTGTAAGAACATGTTAAATTAAAACACCGATACCGAATTTACCAGAGATTACCAAATTCGATCTCCGTGTATTGAAAAGATGAAATATATTTTTCTTCAAACTGACATTGTTGATGCATTTTTATAAGCTTCAACTGCAATCTTTAAACACTGAGTGACATTTAAAGTAACATTAAGTATGCTCGAAGGAAGTTTGCCAATACAATGAAATTAGGTTAGACCTTCTGAGTTGTCAACAGACAAGTATATTGAGGAATATTAGTTATATATGTACGTGATTATATAAACAACACAATCTTTAATAAATAAAATCTGTGATAAACATTATTCACAATTACAATTCTTGTAACTTGGTGTTTGATGATAACAGACTATTTGGTAAACTTTCCTTGTTGTCTTTAGTTACAATTTAGGATTATTTTCAAGCATCTGAATTATGTAAGAACATATTCAATCATGACAATTATATTCAAAATACCAAAAGGAATTCTAAGATTAATTTTGAACTATTGAATAACATTAAAAGTTAAATTAGCATATAAAAAGGAAGTCTGACATACTGAAGATTGGTGTTCAACATGTTCAATGTTAAATGACCTTCTGGTAAACTTTCTAACTTGTTACTCATTAAATAATTAATAGAAAATCAATGATCATGAAAATGCTTAATTTATCTTCTTATATTTACATTACCATACATTTTAAAGGTTGATCTTAAGTTATTCAATCGATCAAATATATTTGTCGTCCACCTGATATGATAGATATAATTTGTATTGCTTTAAAATTCAACATAAAAAATGAACTAAATTAAAAAAAGAATGATGGCAAAACTGCTGAGTTCTCAACACACAAGTATTTTGAAGAAAATCAGATATGTGTACGTGATTAAATAGACAATGTAATCTATAACACAATTAAGTCCTAAGATGATCACAATTCATACATACAATGTTTTAATTTTTGTGTTGTTAGAAAACATATGAACGACGGAGGTTAAAAATTCCACACACTATCAAATAAGTTTAGGTCTGATATAAATATCAATTACACTTAAAATTCTATAGGATTCATGTTGAACAGAAACAAATCTTCTGGTAAAGTTACTAGCTTGTTATGCCTTAAAAATCTGGAAGAAAATCAAATATCTTGATTGTGTAAGAACATGTTAAATCAAAACACTGATACTAAACTTACCAAAGATTAATAATTTGATCTCCTTGTATTCAATAAGTTTATTATTGTGATAAACCTGCTGAGCTATTGGCACACAAGTATATTAAAACCCCTTTATATAGGAACATGATTTGCAATAATTTAATATAACCTTTTAATAAGATTAAGTCTGGCATATTGAAGATTTGTGTTCAACATGATCAATGTTAACTAACCTTCTGGGAAGTTTTCTAACTTGTTATTCAGTAAATATCTAATAGAAAATTGATGATCATGAACATAGTTACTTAATTAACCTTCTTATATTCAAATAACCAAACATTTCAAAGGTTGATCTTCAGTTATTCAATGGATCAAATATATGTGTCATCAACCTGATATTGTTGATGTGATTTTTATTACTTTAAAAATCAACATTATTTAACGAAATTAAAATAGAATGATGACAAAACTACTGAGTTGTCGGCACACACGTATATGTACGAACAGCAGATGTATGTGTACGTGATTATATATACAATTTAAATAATATAATATGTAAGAAAAAGTCTGAGATGAGCATAAATCATACTTACAATTCTTCCAGATTTGTGTTGCTAGAAAACAGACCTTCTGGTAAAGTAACTAACTTGTTCTGGCCTAAATATCTGAAAGGAAGTCAAATATCTTGATTTTGTAAGAACATGTTAAATTAAAACACCGATACCGAGTTTACCAGAGATTACCAAATTCGATCTCCGTGTATTGAAAAGATGAAATATATTTTTCTTCAAACTGACATTGTTGATGCATTTTTATAAGCTTTAACTGCAATCTTTAAACAACGAGTGACATTTAAAGTAACATTAAGTATGCACAAAGGAAGTTTGCCAATAAAATGAAATTAAGTTAGACCTTCTGAGTTCGACAGACAAGTATATTGAGGAATATCAGTTAGATATGTACGGGATTATATAAACAACACAATCTTTAATAAGATAAAGTCTGTGATAAACATTATTCACAATTACAATTCTTGTAACTTGGTGTTTGATGATAACAGACTATCTGGTAAACTTTCCTTGTTGTCTTTGGTTACAAAGTTGGAGTATAATCAAGCATCTTAATTATGTAAGAACATATTCAATCAAGACAATTATATTCAAATTACCAAAAGGAATTCTAAGATTAATTTTGAACTATTGAATAACATTAAAAGTTAAATTAGCATATAAAAAGGAAGTCTGACATATTGAAGATTGGTGTTCAACATGTTCAATGTTAAATGACCTTCTGGTAAACTTTCTAACTTGTTACTCATTAAATAATTAATAGAAAATCAATGATCATGAAAATGCTTAATTTATCTTCTTATATTTACATTACCATACATTTTAAAGGTTGATCTTAAGTTATTCAATCGATCAAATATATTTGTCGTCCACCTGATATGATAGATATAATTTGTATTGCTTTAAAATTCAACATAAAAAAATGAACTAAATTAAAAAAGAATGATGGCAAAACTGCTGAGTTCTCAACACACAAGTAATTTGAAGAAAATCAGATATGTGTACGTGATTAAATATACAATATAATCTATAACACAATTAAGTCCTAAGATGATCACAATTCATACATACAATGTTTTAATTTTTGTGTTGTTAGAAAACATATGAACGAGGTTAAAAATTCCACACACTATTAAATAAGTTTAGGTCTGATATAAATATCAATTACACTTAAAATTCTATAGGATTCATGTTGAACAGAAACAAATCTTCTGGTAAAGTTACTAACTTGTTATGCCTTAAAAATCTGGAAGAAAATCAAATATCTTGATTGTGTAAGAACATGTTAAATCAAAACACTGATACTAAACTTACCAAAGATTACCAATTTGATCTCCTTGTATTCAATAATTCTATAATAGTGATAGACCTGCAGAGCTATTGGCACACAAGTATATTAAAACCCCTTTATTTAGGAACATGATTTGCAATAATTTAATGTAACCTTTTAATAAGATTAAGTCTGACATATTGAAGATTTGTGTTCGACATGATCAATGTTAACTAACCTTCTGGGAAGTTTTCTAACTTGTTAATCAGTAAATAGCTAACAGAAAATTGATGATCATGAACATTGTTACTTAATTAACCTACTTATATTCAAATTACCAAACATTTCAAAGGTTGAACTTCAGTTGTTCAACGGATCAAATGTAATTGTGATCAACCTGATATTGTTGATGTAATTTTCATTGCTCTAAAATTCAACATTATTTAACGAAATTAAAATAGAATGATGACAAAACTACTGAGTTATCGGCACACAAGTATATGTAAGAACAGCAGATGTGTGTGTTCGTGATTAGATATACAATTTAAATAATATAATATGTAAGAAAAAGTCTGAGATGAGCATAAATCATACTTACAATGTTTTAAGTTTAGTGTTGTTAGAAAACAGACCTTCTGGTAAAGTTACCAACGTGTTAGTGTCTAAATCTCTGGAAGACAATCAATTATCATGATTATATAAGAACATGTTACATTAAAGCACTAATTCTGAACTTACTAAAGATTACCAATCTGATCTCCTTGTATTCAATAATTCTATAATAGTGATAGACCTGCAGAGCTATTGGCACACAAATATATTAAAACCGCTTTTATATAGGAACATGATTAACAATAATCCAATATAATCTTTTAATAAGTTTAAGTCTGACATATTGAAGATTTGTGTTCAACATGATCAATGTTAACGGATCTTCTGGGAAGTTTTCTAACTTGTAAATATCTAATAGAAAATTGATGATCATAAACATAGTTACTTAATTAACCTACTTATATTCAAATTACCAAACATGTCAAAGGTTGATCTTCAGTTATTCAATGAATCAAATATATGTGTCATCAACCTGATATTGTTGATGTGATTTTGATTGCTTTAAAAATCAACATTATTTAACGAAATTAAAATAGAAAAATGACAAAACTACTGAGTTCTCGGCACACAAGTATATGTAAGAACAGCAGATGTGTGTGTACGTGATTAGATATACAGTTTAAAAATATAATATGTAACTAAAAGTCTGAGATGAGCATAAATCATACTTACAATCTTTCAAGATTTGTGTTGCTAGAAAACAGACCTTCAGGTAAAGTTACTAACTTGTTTTCGGTTAAATATCTGAAAGGAAGTCAAATATCTTGATTTTGTAAGAACATGTTAAATTAAAACACCGATACCGAATTTACCAGAGATTACCAAATTCGATCTCCGTGTATTGAAAAGATGAAATATATTTTTCTTCAAACTGACATTGTTGATGCATTTTTATAAGCTTCAACTGCAATCTTTAAACACTGAGTGACATTTAAAGTAACATTAAGTATGCTCCAAGGAAGTTTGCCAATATAATGAAATTAGGTTAGACCTTCTGAGTTGTCAACAGACAAGTATATTGAGGAATATCAGTTATATATGTACGTGATTATAAAACAACACAATCTTTAATAAATAAAGTCTGTGATAAACATTATTCACAATTACAATTCTTGTAACTTGGTGTTTGATGATAACTGACTATTTGGTAAACTTTCCTTGTTGTTTTTAGTTACAATTTAGGATTATTTTCAAGCATCTGAATTATGTAAGAACATATTCAATCATGACAATTATATTCAAAATACCCAAAGGAATTCTAAGATTAATTTTGAACTATTGAATAACATTAAAAGTTAATTTAGCATATAAAAAGGAAGTCTGACATATTGAAGATTGGTGTTCAACATGTTCAATGTTAAATGACCTTCTGGTAAACTTTCTAACTTGTTACTCATTAAATAATTAATAGAAAATCAATGATCATGAAAATGCTCAATTTATCTTCTTATATTTACATTACCATACATTTTAAAGGTTGATCTTAAGTTATTCAATCGATCAAATATATTTGTCGTCCACCTGATATGATAGATATAATTTGTATTGCTTTAAAATTCAACATAAAAAAATGAACTAATTTAAAAAAAGAATGATGGCAAAACTGCTGAGTTCTCAACACACAAGTATTTTGAAGAAAATCAGATATGTGTACGTGATTAAATATACAATATAATCTATAACACAATTAAGTCCTTAGATGATCACAATTCATACATACAATGTTTTAATTTTTGTGTTGTTAGAAAACATATGAACGACGGAGGTTAAAAATTCCACACACTATTAAATAAGTTTATGTCTAATTAATATCAATTACACTTAAAATTCTATAGGATTCATGTTGAACAGAAACAAATCTTCTGGTAAAGTTACTAGCTTGTTATGCCTTAACAATCTGGAAGAAAATCAAATATCTTGATTGTGTAAGAACATGTTAAATCAAAACACTGATACTAAACTTACCAAAGATTAATAATTTGATCTCCTTGTATTCAATAAGTTTATTATTGTGATAAACCTGCTGAGCTATTGGCACACAAGTATATTAAAACCCCTTTATTTAGGAACATGATTTGCAATAATTTAATATAACCTTTTAATAAGATTAAGTCTGACATATTGAAGATTTGTGTTCAACATGATCAATGTTAACTAACCTTCTGGGAAGTTTTCTAACTTGTTATTCAGTAAATATCTAATAGAAAATTGATGATCATGAACATAGTTACTTAATTAACCTTCTTATATTCAATTACCAAACATTTCAAAAGTTGATCTTCAGTTATTCAATGGATCAAATATATGTGTCATCAACCTGATATTGTTGATGTGATTTTGATTACTTTAAAAATCAACATTATTTAACGAAATTAAAATAGAATGATGACAAAACTACTGAGTTCTCGGCACACAAGTATATGTAAGAACAGCAGATGTATGTGTACGTGATTAGATATACAATTTAAATAATATAATATGTAAGAAAAGTCTGAGATGAGCATAAATCATACTTACAATCTTTCAAGTTTAGAAAACAGACCTTCCGGTAAAGTAACTAACTTGTTTCCGTTTAAATATCTGAAAGGAAGTCAAATATCTTGATTTTGTAAGAACATGTTAAATTAAAACACCGATACCGAATTTACCAGAGATTTCCAAATTCGATCTCCGTGTATTGAAAAGATGAAATATATTTTTCAACAAACTGACATTGTTGATGCATTTTTATAAGCTTTAACTGCAATCTTTAAGCAATGAGTGACATTTAAAGTAACATTAAGTATGCACAAAGGAAGTTTGCCAATAAAATAAAATTAAGTTAGACCTTCTGAGTTCGACAGACAAGTACATTGAGGAATATCAGTTATATATGTAACTGATTATATAAACAACACAATCTTTAATAAAATAAAGTCTGTGATAAACATTATTCACAATTACAATTCTCTAAATTTGTGGAAGAAAATCAATCATCTTGATTATGTAAGAACAAGTTTAATTAAAACACTAATACTGAAATAACACAAGATTTCCAATTTCAATTTCTGTGTATTCAATAGATAAAATATATGTTTCGTTAAACTGACATTAATGATGCAATTTTTAAAGCTTTCAATCGCAAAAATTACACTAAATAAGTTTTACGGTCACCATCACGAATTGGGTGCATGACTAATACGATGTTTCTGTGAATTTACTTGTTATCAACATGTTTTCGTAGTTTAAGATCTTTGGATACCAGAATATGTCTAATATACTTAACTAACCTACTTATATTCATATTACCAAACATTTCAAAGGTCTATCTTCAGTTATTCAGTGGATCAAATATATTTGTCATCTATACTCATAATTTATAAGACATTAAAATCATATGATTGAACACCATAATAAGATTGATCGACATAATAATGGACTGGACTACATGTCAACTGTAAAACAGAACGAAATCCCGTCCAACATCTGAAAAAGGGAATGTTTAAAATATGTCTCATTAAAACTACCATACTCCAATGTAAATTCAAAAATTCATAAGATGTTCCGAGGAACCTTGTGTCTCGCGATTGCTGCTGTCAGTCTAAAAGTGTAATGATGACATAAAAAGTGATAGCCTAGTCAATTTAGCTCTAATATTACTCATCCTGCAATTAATTGCAACACAAGATTTTTTTAAGTGTAAATTAGAACATAGACTTGTACTAACAACATATAATAAAAATCTACATTATCATATTTTGAGGAAAAGGTTATTTTGGTGTGAAATATATGGTTTTTAGAGAAAAACAAAAAATACGGAAAACTGGAAAAAATTAAGAACAGTTATTTATGGTTACATTTTGAGACTTATATCTTGGTGAAGAAGATAGGACACTTTATTTTTTTAGTGTTTTATGTAGCCCTTTATTTATCATTATTCGTATTAAGGTAATTTTGAGGTGAAATGTGTAATTTAGAGAAAAAACGCTGAAAACTGAAAATGATGAAAATCTCAGTTGTTAATGGTTAAAATGTGTGAAATGTGATCTTCAAAGAAAACAGAACATACTATTTTATGCTTATTATGTGAAGTCCAATAGTTATTTATATAAATATTTGGGTAAATTTGGCTGAAATTTATGTTTTTAGAGAGAAAAACCTCGAAAACTGAAAAAAAGCTCGGTTATTATTGTTAAAACTTTTGATGTGGGATTTTTATAGAAAATTCGACATATTATATATTCTGTTTATATTATGAAGAACTGTAGTTATTAGTATTTAAAAACGGTAATTCTTGGGTAAAATGTGGTTTTTAGAGAAAAATTAAAATAGGAAAAATATTCATGGTTGAAAGTTTTGAAATATGATCTTAATAGAAGATAGACAATATAAGCTTATGTTTATACATGTAACGTCACGGTACTCAAATTGCACTGAGTACCCAAATTGCACCTAATTAGCAGAAATAGTAGCGGAAGTCTTACAATGTTTTGTTAAGAGACTAAGCAATTGGTATATTTATGATTTGACATTATGCACATCTTTCAACACAGCTAAATATGTTCAAATATACACAACATGTTCACTTTCACAGTATATTATCAACAGATGAAGCATCCACTGGAAAACCTTATTCTACGGAAACTTTGCCATGCGACATCCACAAAAAGTCAACTTTCAAAAATGAGTCATTTAAATTATGTTGGAGTATTTAAACGGAAAAAATAAAAAAAATAAGTAAACATCTTCATTAAAGGGCATTAACTCTAATAAGGGGCCATCAGACGATCTCAACCATGCTGATTCATTTGTAGAACTAATCTTGCTGATCATTTTTTGCTATATAAAGTTTCTCTCTATCTATTATAATTTTAAGATAATGGGCAAAAATTTAAAAAGTTATTGACATTTTGGAAGTAAATGTACAATATGTAAATGTCACAATTCCAAATGTTTCTGCCCTTGTCAGATTTTCTCTTTTTATAGTGGTTTTCAAGATAATAAACAAAACTTGCATTTTACACCTATGTTTTTTTTAGCCATGTCGGCCATCTTGGTTGACAGGCAGCGTCATTGGCAACATTTTGTAAACTAGATACACTAATAATGATTTTGGCCACGTGTGGTTTAGTTTGGATCAGTAGTTTCATAGAAGAAGTATTTTGTAAAAGCTAACGACGACGGAGGACGGACGAAAATGTTGAGAAATATAGGCAAAAATACAAAAAAAAAAATAAGTCCATTTTTCAGATTAATACGGAAAAGAAGAAATAAATATTTTCAACATTTTGCTCTGAATACTGTATTTTGGTCATAACAAAGCTTCTGTCCAAATTTCCCACAATTCCATGAAGCTTTCACAAAGTCATTGATGACTGACGGTATTTACTTGTTAACTGTAAAACTAGAGGCTCGTCTGCATCTTCAGCAATAGCCACTTTTTAGTAATAAACATCATTAAAGGGGAATAACTCTATTCAGAGATAACTAAAAATTTCAGTCATGTTGCCGTATTTGTAGATCTTATCCTACTGGTAATTTTCCTTTATAAAGTTTCTATTTATCTATTATAGTTTTCAAGATAATAGGGAAAAAATACCAAAACATGTTAAACATTATCATCAAAGGGCAATAAGTCCAATAACGAGTCGAATGCAGATTTGTGCCATTTTTTCGCTTATTTGTGGATCTTGTCTATCTGATCATTTTGTGTTATTTGAAGTGTCCGTCTATATAACTGTTATGAATCGAGATAATAGGTAAAAAAATTCTAAAATGGTAAATTCATCCTTTAAGGGCAATAACTCCTATAAGAAATCGTTTGACAGTTTTGACGTGAATGGCCAATAGAGCTCAACATTCTGAACATTTTTGCTCATGTCAGATTTTCTCTATTTATAGCGGTTTTCCTAATAATAGGCAAAACTTGCATTTAACCCTATGTTCTTTTTTTGGCCATGTCAGACATCTTGGTCAGCTGGTAGGGTCATCGGACGAAGTTTTAAACTACATACCCCAATAATGATTATGGCTAATTTTGGTTAAATTTGGCCAAGTAGTTTCAGAGGAGAAGATTTTTGTAAAAGTTAACGAAGATGGACGACGACGATGACAGACGAAAATGACGAAGACGGACATCAAACCCCAAGTGATGAGACAAGCTCACTTGGCCCTTCGACCAGGTGAGCTAAAAAATAAGTTGATTTTATCCGTAAAATACGGGAAAATGAAAATAAACATTTTCAAAATTTTGCCCTTGATACTGTCCTTTGGTCATAAACAAGCTTCTGTCCACATTTCTTAAAATTCCATAAAGGTTTGACAAACTTATTGATGACTGAAAAACTTTCACTTCAGACTAAATTTGAAAGTTAACTGTAAAAAAATAGTTCTATTTATCAGTAAAATACGAAAAAATAAAAATAAATATTTTAAAAATTTTGCTCTGGATACTTTATTTTGGTCATAAAGAAGCTTCTTTTCAATTCCTAAAATTCCATTAAGGTTTGACAAAGTTATTCATGTTATTGATGTCTAAAAAACATTAACCACATACTTAATCTAAATGCTGACGCCGACGCCAATGACGGAATCGAGGATCGCTATGTTTCAGTTTCGCACAAAATGTCGCAGGCTCGACAACAAGGGCAAGTTTATGCAACATGACATGTTCAAGCGATCTGACTACTATATCAACTAACGGAACGTCAGGAAAATAATCTCACCTGACATGAACAATGCATGCAAAATCTCATCTCATTTCCGATTATTGGATTGTCCTAATATTGCAATATTCATTCAATAATTCATATGACATAATGATCCTTATTTATTGCAGTTTGAATATTGTTAAACAGAATAATAAGTATTTAATTGTTCATCTTGTCTCTACTAGAAATATTCCGACAAAAATAACAACAAAATTAATCAAGACGTAAATTGAAGATAAAAAGAAAACACTATGGCAAAAAGAAAACACGGGAAAAACACAATTGATCACAGATAACTAAGAGTATAATAAAACAAATCCCAAAACAGGGGGGATGATTTTTGACGACCTGAAATGAAAAGTAAGTTTCCCATTTATAACACGGTAAATTTAAAAAGGGGAAAATTGATTAAACCTGACAAAAATCCAACGCTCAACACTATCAACCAACGAAATGAATTGAAAACAACTGTCTTATATTCTTGCAATGATTAGGCATTTAAATAGGCAAAAGCGAATTCCTCGATGTAAGAGAGCTCATAAGTCACGAACAACAAACTGGAGACAACGGACATTGTAAATATGATAACTACTTACATGAATGTGTAGTTATTTAAAATCTGTCTATTATCACTTTTTATAGTAATTTCTCACTGCAGTATCATTACGGTAAAAACCTACTTCCTTGCCCGTGTATCAATACTTACAAGATTATAAGGGATGTTAAACCAGAAAGCGCATTTGGTCTTACTGTTGTTAAGTTATTTCTATCAAGAGATCTGACAGAATGAAAAATAAATGATCATAAGACTTCGTTCAATATACATGATATAAGAACGATATTCCATATTCTGATATATATAACCTACATCTCTTTAACATTCCGCAGGTCAAAACATTCTAAAGCATCTACACTATAAATTTGGTAAATCTCTAAAAAAAAAGTTGTGATTAAGGAATGTAGCTTTAGTGAAAATTAATCATAATTTAATGAGTATTAAAATCATTTGGGGTGGACCAGTAAAAGGATAGACCAACGATTGCATGAACTACATTTGAATGTATGAAATGAAAATACGAAGTCTATAGAGTAGACAATATTATGATAGACTATCATTTAATTGTTAAGTCAAGACAGTTTGCTAATATTTTACACAATAAGAACCATTTCGAAAAAGTGAAAGAAAACGCCTGACAGTTAACAACAATTAGTATTTAGATGCAAAGAATTGGTAGTTCGTTAAATTTTGGGATATATTTTTTGTCGTGAATGAGGTACATAAAAAGCTTATAGGTATAGATAGAAATCATCATCATTGATGAAGATCATGTATACAATAGTGACATGATAATAGTAATAAGTTCCCGTGGAATATTGGCAGGTCGATAACTTAACGCGTTTGGTATATCATAGATAATATCCTTTACCACGTCCATCTCTTAAAATTTTCCTGCAATATACACAAAACTATTCCCAAACGAAAACCTGATTGTCTAATTAAAGCAGGAAAATTAAATCGAGAATTTCCGAAAACCAGCAAGTTCATTTTAAAATCCAAACCTGGTCGGACAACTATATTTTCCATGCAAAGTCACGATTTGATTAAAACATATGTAATGTATAGTACTTACAAAATTGTTGTAGTTGAAGAAATATCTGTATGCGGTATTTCATCAAAATTCCTTCGGGAACAATCAACTATTGTATCATAACATGAGCAAGACGAAGGACATCCATTAACTAAATCCCCTTTCAACAGGCTTATAAACAACATAACTGCAACTGACATCAACATTTTATTAGATGTGTTCGTTTTGCTCGTTTACCTTGATTTATCTGTAATATACAAAAAAAAATAATGTCAAATAATATAACCTATTGCCAGATAGTCATTTATTTTTTAATAAACAATCATGAATTTTCAAGATAAGACAAAATGTAAGAAAACAGAAATAGAGAGAAATTACCATTTCAAAGATTTTCCTTTCCTTAATTACACTCTATCAGATATGTGTCTCTTTCTTTATGATATCAAAAGAGATGAGAAGAATACCAAAGAGACATTCAAACTGATAAGTAAAAAATTAACTGACAACGCCATGACTCAAAAAGAAAAAAGACAAACAGACAAACAACAGTACACAAAACAAAACTTAGAAAACCAAAGAATGAGCAACACAAACCCCACCAAAAATTGTGGGTGATCTCAGATGCGCTAAAAGAATAAGCAGATCCTGCTCCACATATGGCACCCGTCGTGTTGCTCATGTTAGTACAAACCTGGTGATAAGTTTACTTCGGTATGACATTCGGAGAAAAGGTGACAGGATTGTAGTTACAACAATTGGAACATATCCGTTGTCATCTGTGAAATGGATATTCCATATAATGGTAAAAAAAACTTGTGATGTCGTCTGTAAAATTTAGGAAGGGACGATATCAACTAATAGTTTTCTTGTGAGAAGCAACCATCTATCAAGGAAATTATGATAGAAAATACAAGCTATGGAAATGGTATCAACTTGATATAAACATGTACTCCTACAAGAAATGATTGTAAGAGGATGCTGTTAAGAAATCGCTCGAACAAATCATCATAAGTATAAACCCCTAAGGACTCTCCCTATTAAAAAAAAAATATAAAAAAAAGGTTCAAGGTCAAATTATGACCTTGACCATTTGACCTTTCAAGAGCCATATGTTCCCATGGTCATTACTGAAGACCCTTTGTGTCTATCACTAACTGTTCTCAAGATATAATCATTTGAAAAAATAAAATACTATAGGATTCTATAGTAAACCCCTCCTTTCTGTTGGCCAAAGTACCCCTTTATAAACCCCACTGCACAAATAAAACCCTGATTGTACCACTAGACATGTTAGTCTAACATATTGTCGAACCCTAAGTTAATTTGACAAGCGGTTTTGACGAACGGGTGCAGACAAGATCAAATTCAAAAGTAGTGGAAGAAGAAGTTCAAGAAGAAGAAGAAGAAGAAGAAGAAGAAGAAGAAGAAGAAGAAGAAGAAGAAGAAGAAGAAGAAAATTTGCAATTTTGAGAAATAGCGGATGGCACCCTTGTCTCCTCTTTGCTAGGGTAACGGTAGCCATAGTTGCTGTGGTTTCAATGGCAACATAGTGGTTCCAAATTATTGTCAAAATCATCCAAAACCTGTATATAGGCGATATCTTTTTTGTATTAAAACAGTTTTATTGGGTTTGATGTAATATTCGTTAAGAAAATGTTGCTTTAAAGTATTTTTTGTCATGTGGTCAAGGTATAACTTTCTACCTGTTTCCATGACAATGGTGGCCATTTTGGAAATTCTAAATATTTTCGGTACAACATACCACAGGCAACATTTGCATAAGTTTTATTATACTGGGTCTTATAACAAAGGAATTAGAATTTTGATTTTGTTTTACATTTTTGCTGTTTCTTTGGTAACCGTGGCCATCTTGTACATTCCAAAGTCAGAGGCATAACTTCACATGGTAGTCAAAATTATAGCAAGAAAGTGGAACAAACATTATAATTAAAACTAAAATTGCTAATTCAAGCAATAGCGGGTGTCACCCTTCCCCCAATACCAAAAAAACGGCAGCCATTTCGAAAAGTTTAAACAGTGATTGCATATAAATGCATGGCTACACATCTTTCTGTAAATTTTCAAAACATTTGGAGCATTTTGATATTTTACACATTTTTGCTGTTTTCATGGTAACGGCAGCCATTTTTGAAATTCCGAATTCAAAAGTCTCACGTTAACTTGCTAGTTGATATCTATATAAAGTTTCATTAAGTTTGGAGCATTTTGAAATTTTGGACATTTTTGCTGTTTCCATGGTAACGGTGACCATTTCCAAAATTTTAATGACAGGTGCCGCATTGGTACATGAGGGGGAACATACCATCAAAGTTTCAATGGGTTTGACCCACCATTTTAGGAGAGGAAATAGATATAAGAAGATGTGGTATGAGTGCCAATGAGAAAACTCTCCATCCAAGTCAAAATTTATAAAAGTAAACCATTATAGGTCACAGTACGGTCTTCAACACGGAGCCTTGGCTCACACCGAACAGTAAGCTATAAAGGGCCCCAAAAAATTACTAGTGTAAAACCATTCAAACAGGAAAACCAACGGTCTAATCTATATAAAAAAACGAGAAACGAGAAACACTTATGAACCACATCAACAAACGACAACTACTGAACATCAGATTCCTGACTTAGGACAGGTGCAAACAAATGCAGCGGGTTTAAACGTTTTAATGGTACCAAACCTTCACCCTTTTTCTGAAACAATACTGTAACATCACAACATAGAAAGACACACTATAAAATATCAACTGAAATAGCTTAACTCAATCAAAGGACATATTAACACCATTGAACATACACTGAACAAATAAATTTGACCTATGACACAATGTAAATACAAAATAACGCTACCTTAAAGGTTTTTAGAAAGGTTTTGAGAGCAATTTGACCTTTTTTGCATTGTTTCCATGGTAACGTCAGCTACATCTACACATGCTAGTTAACATTGCTGTGAAGTTTCATCAAGTTAGGAGCATTTTGAAATTTTTGAAATTTTTGCTGTAGTTACTATGGCAACATAGTAGTTCCGATGATTGTCAAAATCTTCCAAAATCTGTATATAGTGGACATCTCCATTGTATAGAAACTTAATGATTTTAAGTTCAGGCATACTCAAATAATTCAGAAAACCCCAAAATTTTATTATTTTAGATTTTTTCCGTTTCCATGGTACGGCAGCCATTTTTTAGTGCCAAAGAAAATGCAAATCTACATATGGTGATTATCATTATGCTTAAGTTTGATGAATATTGATCCTTCAGTTTTATAAGAATACTCCAGACAAAAAAGGCGGAAGAACAATAATAACTAGAATTGCTATTGCAAGCAAAAGACGATATCACCCAACTCCATTGCCATGATTACAGCAGCCATTTTGAAAATTCCAAAGTCGAATGCCAGATATATATATGTGCCAGTAAACATTTCTGTAAAGTTTCAGTTAGTTTGGAGAATTTTGAAATTGTCAATACCAAAAGCAATATCCGATATCACCCAACTCCTTTGCCACGATTACAGCAGCCATTTTGAAAATTCCAAAGTCGAATGCCAGATATATATATGTGCCAGTTAACATTTCTGTAAAATTTCAGTTAGTTTGGAAAATTGTGAAATTTTCACATTTTATCAGTTTCCATGGCAACGGCGGCCATTTTGAAAATTCTAAAGTCAAACTCCTGCTACATATGGTGCTACCCATAATAATATACGATCATATAACATTTTATGTCTCTAGAATTAATTCAATACTGATGTTCTGGAATGTTCAATGAAAATTGACACCCTCAAATTATGCCAAGGAGACCCCCAGCTAAAATAAAAAATGTTCCATGTTGAAGTGGACATGTATCTCTAATCTAGAACTAATCATGATTCTATCTCCTCTACATAAAGCACCAATATAAGAAATGTTAAGTTTTTTTTTTACCCCACCCATCTTTGAACTCCCCTAATTATGCCAAGTGGACACCCTGGTATTATGAACAGTGGGATCTGCAACCCCATTGATAAAAACCCATACCCAGAATAGATATAAAGTTTCCATCCTCTACCGCTTCCAAGAAAATAGAAGGACAGTCTAAGTGGTCAGAAAGAGAAAAATAAGAATAATAATAATAATAAGAAGAAGAAACGTGACAAAAACATAAAGCCTCGTTTTGGCGACTTAAAAAGTATCGAACAATAACAATATGTCACCCGACTTTCGTCAGGGTGATATGATAATAATACGGAAAAAAAAACAAACGGAGGAAAAGCAATATGTCACCCGACATTGTCGATCGGGTGACATAATAAGAAAATAGAAACGTAGAATAACAATATGTCAACCAACTCCGTTGAGGGTGCCATAAAAAAGAAACGTAGAATAACAATATGACACCCCAACTCTGTTGAGGATGCAATAACTATAATTGCTATTGTAAGAAATAGCGGACTTACCCCTGCCAGATGACAATCATGAATTTATGAACCATCATGGATGTTCATAAGAAGTTCATTAAGTTAATTAATGAATTAAGCTCATGAGTAGTTCATAAAATGCATTTCATGAATATTTTCTCAACCTTTATGAAATGTCAGTCAGTTCATAACGTTCATAAATTGTTCATAACACATGTTCAAGAATATCTTATCAACTTTAATTAATCAATCAATTCATAATGTTTATAAAATGATTCATAACAAATGTTCATGAACATTTTCTAAACTTTTATGAAACACTAATTTCATAAAGTAAAAAAAGGTTCAACTACAACTTACACAATTTAACTCAGATGTGTTATTTGTTATAGGATCATGTCTTATTGTTCTCCGTAAGATGAGTCCATGAGTCCTGGACTCATGAAAATCTGTCTGGACTCATCATAACAGGCGAGTCCAAAGATGTATCAAGAATATAAAACTTTTTTTATTTTATTTCTAAAGTTTAGAAATAATCTAAATTTGATGTCAATTCTTTGCTTTTTTTTTGTCAGTGAGACTGGAATAAAAAATATATAGCAATAACATTTTTTATTCTCGCTGTTGAATTCGCCTTGGCTTAAAGAGATGAATTCCTCACAGGACTCACCTTCCAAAATCTATAGTGAGAACCATGATGTCTCTATAGCATGTATAGTGTCTTAATGTAGTTTTATAGGTATATATATATATTTTAAAATTTAATTTAATTTATTGGATTTGGTGTGGAGATTTGTAAAACAAATAGCGGCAATAATTATTATTCAAACGTTTATACCTGTCATTTATCTTTTATCTTTCCCTTTTCATCACAATCATGGAACTTATTTCCTAGGGATTCAGAACTAATTTGGCTGTTTCATTACATTTCTAAATGTTTTGTTTGAAAGGCATTACCGGTACAGAAATAAAACATCAAATATATATTAACAACCATCCTGGACTTTATGGCCCAGGACTGACACGTTATGGACCAGGGTTTTAATTGGTAAATATTTTAGTCAATCTTCTTATTATTATCCAGATCTTCAGAAGGACAGAAAATCCACATATTTACAGTTTTATTCGAAAAGAAAGAAACATAAAACACGAAAAACAGTACTTAAGAAGAATTTCAAAGTATAAACTTATTTTCAACATCTCAAGAAAACATAATGTTTCCTGTGGGGCTTAATGCTACCACCCCTTCCTCTCCAAAACAAAAACAACACCCACAAACAAACAAAACATAAACAAATACAAAAGCAAGACATTTTTTACATATAGCAAACAAAACAAGGCAAAAAGAAAAGATTGTGAAATACTCGTACTGTAATAGCTACAGTTTTCATCACAAATTAAAAAGAGTAAAGAAGTTTTAGGTACATTCACGTTATATAAAAAACAGTCTCATCTTATTAGTAGATAACACCATATGAAGAAATGAAGGCCTTTAACGTAGACTTAAGGAAAATATACACTGCAAAAAATTCAGACAAACTTTCTATTTGTTGATAGGATACTAGTTGTTATATAGTGAATATAAGGCAATATATACAAGTAATATATAAACTGAATCGAATTGATTAATAAGCCAAAATGTAAAGTAAAGGAATGCTGAAGCTGTATAAAAGATATACAGAAAAGATAATACAGTCACGGTGAGAAAAACAGTCTACACTATTAATAATAAAAGTGATAGTATTGAAACCGTTATTATCTTTTACCAATGTTCTTATAGGGAGAATATTAAAGTATGCATTATAATATCATGCCAAAAAAGACTATAAAAGTGATGAAAACAGACATAAGTGGGGAATGGTATTTGTATCATTCTTGGACAAATTAAAGATATGAAATTTTCAAACCAACAACATTTTGGGAAAAGTCAAAATTAATAGTGCAATCTATAAACAAAATACTTAGATGACAAAAGGTTAGTAAGATGCAAGTAGAACTACGTAGATCTTATGTTATGCTTAATTATTCAATATGCAAATATGATTTAAGGACGGGAAAAAGGCCAGAATGCCTTAAGATAGCGCAACAGTTCAAACGCATCGTCGTCTGTACAAGTTAGAACGGAATGATTATAGGTTCTATAAAAGTTAGTAACTATAAGAACAATATAATATGTAAATGTATAACTGTACTTACATTATAATAACGACCACAACTGGAGAAATCTGATCACACAACCGAACACTTGTAGGAAGATTTCGTCAATAACACGTTGGTAAAGATGGAATGTTCAATATAAACGCATGAATGCTGCAAGTATGTAACACATGTTTACTGATGATTCAGTGGTTTAACATGAAAAATATTTTTATCATTTTTTTTTTAGTTGAGAAAGAGCGTTTAGTACAAATGTAAAATAATGATATGAAAATAAAATATTTCTATGTAACATCTTGCAAATATTTGTCTAAGAAAACACGTATTGACTTAAACGTTTGTAATAAAGAATTTATATTTCAATCTTATTAATCGTCAATTCATCAAATAAGACAAATTGTGTCAATCTATTTTGTTCACGGCTTCTCAAGTGAATTAATATGTTGAAAATGTTTATACTATCTAGAATTAAAACAAAAAAAATCAAACCAAACCATACGCATACGGAAAAAGGGGATGGTAGGTTGGTCATCTATCCCGAAATCAATTCAATATTTTATTTTAAAGAATATGTGTACCAGCTTTTATAGGGTATCAAATATATTCTGCATAGAGTTAGTACCAAATCATTTTAGATTCTATGCTTATGACAACTTTGTCAAATCAGCAAGTTTTACCAAAATTCACATTTATAATTTTCCTATATTGATTGAGATTCACATGGTGGGTGATGCATGCATAAAAGGAGACGCTTATCCTTTCGATGCACCCAGTTTTGCTCCTTTTGGACCTATAAACAAAGAGTTGAACAAAAGAAATTGCTTTCGCAGTTGACCCCTCGGCATAACGATTTCAGATTCAAAAGTTTCAAAAAATTTGTAAGGGGTTCCTCGGAATCCTGGTTTCGCCTGTGATTGCTGCTGTCAGTATAAAAGTGTTATTTTGACTTTAAAAGTAAGACCATTTATCAGTAAAATACAGAATTAAAAAAAAAAAATTCAAACTTTTTTTTTAGATGCTATTATATTTTATTGTCTTCAAGATTAGCTTCTGTCCAAGTTTCACTCCTATAAAGAGTGAGTCTACTAATTCATGTAATTATATCGGGAAAATTTGACAAGTTAGTAGATCTTGTCTTGCTGATCATTTTTGCTCATTTAAATTTCTATCTATCTATTATAATTTGTATCGTATAAGGCAAAAACGCATAAAAAATGGTACAAATCATCAACAAAGGGTAATAACTCTAATAAGGAGTCGACTGACGATTTCAACTATCAGACTTGCTTGTAGAACTTCTATCTCTTTCTGATTATTTTTGTAACTAAAAGTGTCAAAAACATGGTAAGATTTGTCATTTAAGAGCAATAATTTTTATATGAAGTCGTCTGACAGTTTTGACATAAATAAACAATTAGTAGAACTCAACATTCCGAACATTTCTGCCTTGTTAGACTTTCTCTATTTATAATGGTTTTCAAAAATTATAGACAAAACTTGCATTTTACACCTATGTTCTATTTTAGCCATGTCGGCCATCTTGGTTGGCAAGTGGGGTCATCGGACACATTTTATTTTAACTAGATACCCAAATGATGATTGTGGTTAAGTTTGGTTAAATTTGGCCCAGTTGTTTCAGAGGAGAAGATTTTGTAAAAGTTATCAGACGACGACGGACGCCAAGTGATGAGAAAAGCTCACTTGGCCCTTTGGTCCAGGTGAGCTTACAAGTTATATCTATAATTTCCACAAATTGTTGACGGGAAGAGTAAACGCGTGTTTTCTAAGTGCACGTACAGGCAAAGATGTAAAATGTGTAGTAAACGCGCGTTTACATGTAGTTTACTACTGATTAAACGGACACAAAGTAAACGCGCGTTTACTCGAGTAAACATTAGAAATTTCCATTTGGACTGCGTTAAAGTAATTATAGTAAACGGGCGTTTACTAGTAAACGCGAAAAAAGTAAATAAACAAAATTACCGAACTCCAAAGGAACTTCAAAACGGAAAGTCCTTTATAAAATGACAAAATCCAAATGCAGTGCATTTGTCTAACAGTTTTAGGACTTGTGAAGAATGGACAATGTTCATTGTCTCTGTGTTTTGGTGCATGTATGTAGTGTTCTGTTCACCTGATCTTTGATTATCTTCCTATTTCAAAGGAGTTGGATTAAAGATTCTCGTACGTTGGTTGAATGGCACTGTCTCATCCTCTAGGATCTGGATAATGTGTGATACAAATACCTGTGATAGAAGCATTTCTGTGATAAACAATATACATGTACTGTGATAGGAGATTAGCTGTGATTTACTAAATATAACAGTGCAACATCTGCGTCACATTATTATATGTGATATAAACGTGCTATACCATGGAAATATCACCTTAAGCATGCCTGGACTGTTGTTGACATTAATTATTTAATTAATGCCTAAAACGTGTTTTTAGCTCACCTTGCCCAAAAAGCCAAGTGATCTTATCTCATCACTTGGCGTCCGTCGTCCGTCGTCCGTCGTCGTCCGTCGTCCGTCGTCCGTCGTCGTCCGTCGTCGTCGTCCGTCAACTTTTACAAAAATCTTCTCCTCTGAAACTACTGGGCCAAATTTAACCATACTTGGCCACAATCATTACAAGGGTATCTAGTTTTATGATTGTGTCCGATGACCCCGCCTGCTAACCAAGATGGCCGACATGGCTAAACATAGAACATAGGGGTAATTGCAGTTTTTGGCTTATATCTCTGAAACTAAAGCATTTAGAGCAAATCTGACACAGTAAAAATGTTCATCAGGTGAAGATCTATCGGCCCTGAAATTTTCAGATGAATCAGACAACCCGTTGTTGGGTTGCTGCCCCTGAATTAGTAATTTTAAGGAAATTTTCCAGTTTTTGGTTATTATCTTGAAAATTATTATGGTTAGAGGTAAACTGTAAACAGCAATAATGTTCCGCAAAGTCAGATCTACAAATAAGTCAACATGACCAAAATGATCAATTGACCCCTTAAGGAGTTATTACTCTTTATAGTAAATTTTTAACAATTTTTCATAAATTTTTGTAATCTTTTACAAAAATTTTCTCTTCTGAAACTACTCGGCTATTTTTATCCAAACTTGGCCACAATCATCACTAGGGTATCTTGTTTAAAAAATGTGTCCGATGATCATGCCTGCCAACCAACATGTCATACATGGCTAAAAATAGAAAATTTGGGTGGAAAATGCAGTTTTTAACTTATATCTCTGAAACTAAAGCAAATGTATAACGATTGCATTATTTCATGCATCAATTGTAAATGAAAATATCAGGTGAGCGACACAGACTCCATGGAGCCTCTAGTTATATGTTTAGTTTCAATTGTTTTTTACAATCTAAAAAGAATTATATACTGTGGTTCTTATTACAAGTGTGTTCTTAAATTTCTAATTAAAATATCATGTATAATGCAAACAGACTTCATATTTGTAATAGATACAAATCAACTGGTGTATTTATAATCTCACTTCAAAATGGAAAATAGGAAAACACAAACTATTTTGCTTTTTACCTCAAAAAATCTCAACAGAATGGAAAGTCTTCATAATTAGCTATAAAAGGCAGATATAAAAAATTAAAAACATCTAAAAAAAGAAAAAAATATTAGCTTATCTTGTTACAAAACAATTTACGAATAAAATGATACAATATTCAAGCTTGATACAGCTCTAAATTTGGATTGTGATTGAATAATTGACGCAGCAAAGGTTTCTGACACAGAATTAATATGGTCAAAGAACTTAAATATTTGAAATTGGATATTTACCTATTATGGTTCATTATCCAAAATATAACTACATGCATGGTTGGATTCAGTATATCAAAGAACCCCAAGAATTCAATTTTTGATGAAATCAAACAAAGTTTAATTTGGACCCTTTGGACCTAAATGTGGACCTATTTGATAACGGGGTCCAATATCCAAAATCTAAATACACATGTACACTGTTAGATTCAGTATTCTAAGAACCCCAAATCTTCAATGTTTGTTGAAATCAAACAATGTTTAATTTTGGATCCTGATTAAGACCAACTTAAAAAAAACTGGGCCCAAAATCAAAAATTAAATACATGTTTAGATTCAGCATATCTGAGAACCCCAAGAATTAATTTTGTTGTTAAAATCAAACAAAGTTTAATTTTGGACCTTTTGGACATCAATGTGGACCAATTTGATAACGGGACCCAATATCACATTTCATGGTTAAATTCAGCATATCAAACAACCACATATATTCAATTTTTGCTGAAAATTAAATAATGTTTAATTTTTTATCCTGATTTGGATCAACTTGAAAACTGGGCCCAAAATAAAAAATCTAAATGCATGTTAAAATACAGCATATTAGAGAACCCCAAGAATTTAATTTTTTGTTAAAATCGAGCTACTTTTAATTTTGGACCCTATGGGCCTTAATGTGGACCAATTTAAAAACCAGGCCCAAAATTAAAAATCTTAATACAAGGTTAGAATCAACATACCAAAGAACCCCAAGAATTCAATGTTTGTTGACCTATCTCATTGCAATTTTGGCAACAATATAAACTTTGGCGTAAATTCTTTATTTACAATAAATGTCATATAAATGAGGTAAGAAAGATTGGATGTAGCTGCAACAAATGGAAAATAATCATCTGAAAGACATATACAAATGTATACCATTTACATGTTCTGCTAAAATGTCAATAAAAAACAATTATCTCAACATGCATGAAATATTTGCCACTGAATGTTAAGAAAATAACAATCAATGAATCAATGAATCAATCATTGAAAAAATTACCTTATTTGTGAGAGGACAGGTAAATGTTAATATGAAATACAATTTCCTCCTTAATATACACTAACATATTTGAAATCTACCAAATATGTTATAACTGGTTCCACAAGTAAACTGTTACATTCTGCTGTCTTTCTTATTATCCTAGCAGCTACTGGGTTAATATCTGTTGACCTGCAATGTTCATGGACACATTGCAACTTACTGTCGATTCATTTATTTTCATGGATTTCAATGTTCAGGGATATGTGATTTTATGGTTTTGCCAAAGTCTGCATACAACATCATAGAACATTTGTAATTTGTTGCACATTTGATTTAATGGTTATCTGTACCCACGAAAATTAGAATTCGGAT